TCCTTAAAAAAATGCCTCTGAAGATAAAACAATCGCTGAAACTAAAGCATATGGCGGCATCAAAAAATTACAAAAACTAAAACACACAAATTGACAGCTAAAGTCAAACCCTAAAATTTTATAATTTATTAATTATTATAAATTCTTTAAATTTTAATGAAATCAATTCTATTATAAAAAAAATGTCTTCTTTACTTTAAATATTTACACATAAGTTACCTGGACTGCACTGGGTTTTACACTAGAATTCTAGAACTATAACTGGAACTAAACAAACTGCTTCAGTAACAAAACAGGAACAGCGAGATTGAAGAAGCACTTCAACTGGAAACAAACTGGAACATCAGAATTGCTGCAGGCGACACTTCTTCTTCTTGTTCTACTTTTTGTAGATCTTTCGATCTGTTTAATTCTGAAGCTGCCTCTGGTTAATTTCTTGGGAGGTAGATTGCCAACTATCCCTCCATCTTTTATTTGGTCTTCCGGGGGGTCTTAAACCGGGCGGATTGTTTTCTAGGGCAATTTTTGGGAGTCTATTCTCATCCATTCGTCTTACATGGTTGTACCACATCCTCTTGCGCTGCCTTCCCCATCTTACAATATCTTGAATTTTGCACTGCTCTCTAATGTTTGTATTTCTCGCTCTGTCTCTTCTTGTTTTCCCCATTATTGTTCTTAGGGTTTTCATTTCGGCAACCCTTAGCATCTGTTTCGTTTTGTTAGTGTCTTCGCGCACTGCTATGCCATATGTCATGATCGGTCGTATGCATGTCTTATAGCTTCTAATTTTACTATCTGTGCGCATATACGGATTTGACCAGACTATCTCCCGCAGACATCCTGACAGTGCAGATGCTTTGTTGATCTGACTCCTCAGGTCCTTTACTGGGTCGTGGGTGCTTAATATATCTATGCAGATATCTGAATTGCATCACCTGTTCTATAAGGTTGTTCTCAACCACTAACTTACATCTGAGCGGATCTTTTGCTATTGTCATACATTTAGTTTTGTTGTTAGAGATGTTCATATTTAGTAGTCGGCTTGTTTGAAAGACCTGAAAGAGCTGCCTTTGGAGGTCGTTCTCTGATTCGGCAATAATTGCTGCATTGTCTGCGTAACACACCATACCAATTCTTTTGTTGCCCATTCTATATCCGAGATTAAGAGATGTTACTTTGTTGATAATTTTGCCCATGAGAAGATTAAACAAGAATGGGCTTAAACTGTCGCCTTATCTAATTCCTCCCGGTGTTGGAATATTTTCAGTGAATTCGTCTCCTGCTCTAACTTTGGTTACGTTGTTGTTATTTAGTTTATGGAGTATCTTTGTTATACTGGTCGGTGTTTCATTTTCTATTAATATATTTAGAATGTCTCCCAGGCGAACTCTGTCAAATGCCTTCGTCAAATCAATGAAGCAAATATACGCTGGCTTGACGAACTCTATAGCTTTTTCTTTTATTTGTTTTATTATCAATACTGCGTCTGTTATAGACCGCCCTTTTGTAAAACCTTGTTGTTTTTTAGCATTAGTGATTTGTTTTTCCAATTTGTCCTTGAGAATACCCGTGAAAAGTTTCATTGTATTTAAGAGGGTTATTCCTCTATAGTTTTGTGGGCAGGTTTTTTGTCCTTTTTTAAATATGGGGATTGTGATACTATTATGTCATTCCTCTGGTGTTTCTGTTTTGTTTAATATTTTATTAAATAGTTGTGCCAGTTTACTTGCAAGTTACGGGCCTCCATATTTTAAAAGTTCATTGGGTATACCATCCGTTCCCGATGATTTTCTGTTTTTTAGCTTTTTGATCTTTGCTTCTACTTGTTCGTCATTGACTGTAGCACTCACATCTGTTTCGCCTTCGTTTATATTCAATGTTTCTTCAGCATCATATAGCTCTTTAAAATGCTGTTGCGACACAAATCTCTTAAATATTTTTTTAACCTTCTCTGTAACTAGATATACTTCACAATTTACTTTTCACTGCTACATATTTCCATAAAAAGGGGCCACAAACAGAAAACTACAAACTCGACGGATGAATTTGGATCCATACCTGAGCCTACAGCGACCCAAGTAATAGTGACCCACATAACTTGAAAATAAACAAAACGCTGAAATAAACAAAACACAACGAAAATTAAGACGGAGATTATTATTTGAAAATGCAGTACTTTGGGCACCATAAATCAAAGAATTATCGACAGGAAAATACGCAGCCATGAAATAAATAAACAACTCTAAAATGATTTTTATTACTTGGCGACGCTAAAAGGAATTAAAGGAATTCGGTGTTTTAATACGTACAAATAGGAAACTGAAATACATTAAAAAATATTTTATGAAAAAATATTTTTTTTCAAACATTTATGAGGGGATTTCAATATATTACATATACGAGGGGATTTCAATATACACCAAAGAATCAATGAAATTGCAAATGCTACAATGTAAAGTATTTCTTATACAACGTAAACTTAAACTTAGTTATAAATAATAACGGATTTACAAATTAATATTATTAATTTCAGGTAAAAATCAATCTGGAATATACGTCATAAAACCCAAAACAAGCAGTAAACCATATTCTGTTCTTTGCGATATGCAAACTAGAGGCGGTGGTTGGACTTACATTCAGAATAGATTTGACGGGTCCCAGGATTTTTATCTTCCATGGAGAGACTATAAGTTTGGTTTTGGTGATCTAGATGGTGAATTCTGGATGGGATTAGAAAACATTTATCATATGACAGGTAAGCTGTACATCAGTTTTTTTCTTTCTACCATCAACTCTTTACGATGGGACACAGCGTATCTATTGCAGAAACATTCAAAAATATCACAAAAATCAACTGAAATTCTCACTTATTATTCCCTTATCTATGTTAATTATTTTTATTTTTTTATATTGTGTAATAATTGTTTCTAAATACTATCAAAATATAATTTTCTAAGTTGGTGTTCATGAATTTTCGTCTGCATATGCTTAGCGCTAAGACGGCGTCCTATTGTAGGGAAAACTTCTTCTTCTTTATGTGCCGTCTTCTACCGAAGGTTGGCGACCATCATACGATAGGTTTCTCTGTTTTGTGCCGCATGAATTATGTTCGCAGCTTCTGGTATTTGAAACCATTCTCTCAAGTTTCTCAGCCAGTATTTCTTCTTTCTGCCCAAACCTCTTCTACCTTCAATCTTGCCTTCCACGATAAGCTGTAGCAGACTGTACTTATCATTACGGAACACATGGCCCAGGTATGACGCTTTCCTCCTTTTAACAGTTAACAATTCCACCTCTTTACCCATTCGTCTTAATACCTCTGTGTTGGTCACTCTGTCTGTCCAAGGTATTCTCAGTATGCGTCGATACAGCCACATTTCTAGAGCCGCTAACTTCTTTATAGTAGCTGCTGTTAACGTCCATTCTTCTACGCCGTAAAGTAGCGTAGAGAGTACGTAGCATTTCTGGGCGTGCAATCGGAGGTTAATGCTTAGGTTGCGGTTGCTTAAGAGCTTTCTCATTTTGATGAATTTGGATCTTGGTATTTCAATTCGGATCTTAATCTCTACTTCTGGGTCCCACTTGTCATTTACTGTATATCCCAGAATTTAAACCGGTGTACTCTTTCAATACGTTCGTCTTCAATATGCAGGTCGATATGTTGAAATTTTTTTTTACTGATCACCATAAATTTAGTTTTCTTTCCATTGATCTTTAGTCCAAATCGGCTGCCAGTTGTATTAACTCTATGTAGCATCATCTGTAATTCTTCGATGTTATCGGCCAGTATAATAATATCATCTGCATTTTGAAAATTACTTATTGGTACGCCGTTAATCTTGATGCCCTTATTGTACTCTTCTAGTGCCTCTAGAAATATTTGTTCCGTGTACAGGTTGAAAAGCAGTGGCGAAAGAATACAGCCCTGTCTTACCCCTCTAGAAATGGTTATGTTTTCATTCACCATATGTCCATTCTTTATGTGGGCTGTTTGATTCCAATATAATTTTTTTATAATCTGGATGTCCTTAGTGTCAAGTCCTGAAAGACGTAATAGTTCTATGAGTTTGTCATGTTTGATAGTATCGAATGCTTTCTCATGGTCGATAAAATAGACGTAAACATCTTTCTGTTGATCCAGGCATTTTTGAATCAAAATTTGTATTGCAAAGAGGGGTTCTCGAGTTCCAAAACCGCACCTAAAACCGAACTGTGTTTTACTTATGCTGTGTTCTAATTTTGCTCGTATTCTGGAATGGATAATACGCAAAACTAGTAACGGTTTTTAGTGGGCTACGAAGTAAACCACGGAATGAACTGCATTCAGCATATAAATGTCCTTATGAATTAAACAAAGTGTTCTAGCAGCAAAAATTAAAATGGGTTTTAAAAGTAAAGAGTGCAGCTTCGTACGCAATTTTTACGTTTTTAGAAAACTTTGAAGAATCTTATCCTGCTTTAAATTAGTCCTAGATTCTCCTACTGTAAGTTATTTTAAAGGTAATTATTTTTTCTTTCTTAGTAATACACCATTGGATATACGTAAACCTGCTTAGAAAAAATTTATACAACAATATTGACAAAAAAATAGAAAAAATTGTGTGTCACAAACTTTGACAAATCGTATCTGAGATACTGTTAAGCCTAAGACTTGTGCCAAACGTAATTTTAAAGAAAAAGGTTAAAAGTTTTTATTTGTAATGTAATGATTATACCTATACCTCACGGAAGTAAGTTATGAGGCAAAAAAATCGCATGTTTTCGTTGTTTTTATTGTTTTGTTTTTTGAATATATATTTGTAAAAAGAAAATTATTTTTCAATTTAAAAGATAACATTTAGATAGAAAATTTAATTTTTAACAACTTTTTTCATTTGTACAGGGTGTTTTAAAAAGGCATGTCATAATCTAAATCGCGCATTTCGGGGACAAAAATAAATTGATTGAATTCAATCTACCTTAGTACAAAAGTGTACACAAAAAAAAGTTACAGCTCTTTGAAGTTACTTTTAGTAAGAAATAAAAATTGTTTTTTTTTGCATTATCTCCTAAACTACTTGACATTTTGTAATAAAAATGTACACGTTACTTCCTTGTTCTGAAAGCATTTTTCATAAAGAGACAACAAAATCACTTTTTTCAAAAGTTATCACTTTTTTCAAAAAACAGTTTTTATTGAGTTACGGCCCTTTTCATTAACCTTTAAAAAATTACGTGCAACTAAATAAAAGGCTTAAATGAATTAGCAAATACAAAAAATGTCTATAACCTCTATAAATATGATATTACATTATTATAAATAAATGTTCAAAATGATCCCCATTTTCTTCAAGACACATTCGGTATCGTTTTAATAAGAAAAACCAAATGCGCTGAAAAATCACATTTTTCTGACAAAATTGAATTGCAGCTTCAATTATTCTAACACTCAATTGTTGTTCGTCATCTATTGTTACAGAATACACTTTCTCTTTCATAAACTTCCAAAAACAAAAGTCGATGGGTTTAAGACCTGGACTTCTAGGTGGCCAAGAAATCACGGCCCCTTCCAATCCACGAGCAGGATACTGCCTGCATAGGTATTCCCGAACTTCATTACTGTAATGCGGTGAAGCGCCATGTTGTAGAAACCACATATTTAGCCTTATTTTAATGCTCACTTCTTCCAAGTACACTTGTAAATCATTTGCAAGAACCTGCAAATAATTAATACTATTTAAATTGTTGGGAAGAAATACTGGGCCTATTAGATTGTTATTCTCAATTCCTGCAAAAACATTTACTTTGAAAGTCCTTTATTAATGAGTCGTTTTTGGTCGTGAGGATTTTCGTTGGTCCAAATGTGCTCGTTATGGTGGTTTGTTATTCCATTTCTACTGAAGGTAGCCTCGTAGGTAAACAAAATATTTCTAATAAAATTAACATTTTGAGTGTTTTCCATTAACAACCAATCGCAAAAACCAATCCTTTAAGGTAATCTTCAACCAATACCTCTTGAACCATTGCTAAGTGATAGTGTTTAAGCAGCTGATCCTTCGAACGCGAAGGAACATTTAGTTGAGCAGCTATTACCCTTGATTGGGGTATTGTACTGCATAACGCCTTGCAGCTGTTGCACTATTTCCTTGATATTCACCTACGATATTCCCGATAGTTTATTGAAATCATAATTTAATCTGATCTAACTTACCCAATGTTAAATGTATATCTGCCATTTCTTGAAATGTGTAGGCCATTGTAATATCAAATTTTTTAATATTAATCTTATTCACACAATAAATGACAGCTTCAAATTATTGACTATTATTGATTAAACTGTTTGTAATTATGGTATCCGTAGAAACTAATTGTAATTTTATGGTCAGCTAGGAAAAAACTAGTTTTTCGAAAAAGGATTAAGAGGCAAAAAGATTTAAAAATAATATGCTAAACTAATGATGCCACAAAATTCATTTGATTTGAACGTACTTAAAAGTTTAGGGGGATTTAGGCCTGCACACCCCCTTCCATTTTTTTCTGTGCGCTTAGATTTTATTGTTTATTTTGTGTAGAAAATTGCTTTCAGAACAAGAAAGTAACGTGTCCATTTTTATTATAAAAAGTCATGTGGTTTAGGAGATAATGCAAAAAAATTTTAAATTTTGTAAATTCAAAGGGCTGTAACTTTTCTTTTGTATACTTTTCTACCAAGGTAAGTTGGATTTAATAAATTTATTTGACATACCTTTTTGAAACACTCTATATATTTACGAAAATTGCATAGAATTCACCCTAATGCACCCTATTGATAGGGACTAACTCACCCCTTTGTTAAAATGCACACCTTTAACCCTAGAACAGCACAGTTCGTTCATCTAACATAGACTGCACAGTGGGGTCTCGAAAACCCTAATTGTTTTTTTTTAGTAATAAATGTTATGAATTTTTTTTTCTGCGGTATGTAGTACAAAACAACAAACAACAATATCTTATTTTCAAAATATATTTATTAAAAAAAAACATTTCTCATTAGATCTGATAAACGTGGAAAAACATAAACTAGTGCTTTTATTACACTTTATTGAAAATATGGAGAGACGACCAAAAAAATTAAACAAAATTCCAGTGAAATAAAACTTTTCTCTTAAAAGCCCTTTAAACTAAAATAAAATATAAATGTTGTTACAAGATAATTATTTCTTACTCTTAGCCAGGCACTTCAACTTTGGTTCTGACACATATAACATAATTGAGCCCGATGTTCTAAACAGTACGGTTTGTGGCACAACGAACAAGCAGAACTCGTTTTTCGATCCCTTCCACGAGGACAAAAGCAGCATCTAACCTTTTTAGGCAAACTAACATCAAAATTATCTCTTTGAGGTACACCAACTCCTAATATTTCGCTAATTTTTACACGTAGGGTTGTTGGCAAATTGGTAACTTGTAGTCTTTCCCTTAAGTGCGGTTCAATTAATGCAGTTGAAAGTTCTTTTAAAAATGTTTTTCTATCGTGTTTTCGGTCATCTTTCCATTGGGGATTTGCAAGTGAAAATAGAACCATAGCATTTATTCCGCTAGCATCCAACATATTGAAAAACATTCTGAGAGGCCAGCGTCTAGTTTTACGGGAAGTCGTGTAAGAGTGGCACATCTGATCAAAGGTGTCTGTGCCACCCTTTGTTTCATTGTAGGAATGTACAAGATTTGGTTTTCCGGTCAAGGTATTAAGTGATGAATCAGGATGCAAAGTTGATAAAAGTAGTACCACTTTATTTTCCTTTGGAGTGTACGAAACTAGCGTTTTGTTTCTGTCGAAAGCAAATATGGATGTGCCTACATCTTTTTTTTGTGTAAACTTCGGAGGTATTTCCCTTTTATTTTTTCGCAACGTTCCAAGGATTGTTAGCTGATACTGTTCCATCATTTGTTCACTTAGAGGTATTGACGTGAACCAGTTATCCATTGTTATGTTACGGTGAGTACCGTGTATTGGTTCAGAAAGTTTTCTGACATAATATGTAGGAACTGACTCATTATTCTCAACATCAACTTTTCCAACGTATGGAATGGCATTCAGCATATAAAATGTCTTCGAATCATTTATCATCATTACTTTCATTCCATATTTATCAGGTTTGCTGGCCATGTAAATTCGGAATGGACATTTTCCACGAAAACTCACGAGCTGCTCATCAATTGTACAGTTCTCATAGGGCGTGTAGTATAGCTTGCAATTATTTATAAAAATGTCCCATATTTGGCGAATATGGGTAAACTTGTCAACCAATTTTCTAGCATTTCTGTCTGTTTTGTCGTCAAACCTCAAGCAAAGAGCTAAAAACTGAAATCTTTGTTGGGGCATGGTTGCCCGAAATAGCCCATTGCCATATTTTATTGACCAAAGCTCATCTAAATTACAATTTGAGACTCGTAATGCACCAGCGAGATACAGCAAACCAATACATGCTTTGACTTCTATGTTGTTGGTTATTTTTTTGTAACTCTGCGGCAAGCCACTCTGACACTTCCTAAGAATTTCTTGATTTGTATGCAGCACAATAATGTCCACAATCTCTTGAGAAAATAGTAAATTCCAAGATTCAACAGGGCTACTAACATTTCTTGCTTCATTTTTTAGACCAGGCAAATGTAAAACGATGTTATCCTTTCTTGGACGTCCTTGTCGTGCTGGTGCCTGTGTGGTCCAACGATGACCATTTTTTCCCAGTATACTGGCGATATTTCTTTGCGAGGTATTGGGTTCTGTTTGTTCTTCTTCATTATCGTCGTCACTTTGTTGTTCGTTATCAGTGTCAGACTGATGTTCAGGAACATAAAGATCGTCTTCATCTGATGAGTCTCCAAAATCATCTTCGATGGTCTCTGGTTCATTTTCATTCGCCCACAGGTTTTCAGCTTCCCACTCTAATTCTTTTCTGGTTAGTGGACGCTGATATTTTCTCTTAGAATCTGCCATACTAGCAAATAACAAAAAATCACCTCAAAATTTTAACACCGTTTAACTGCACACTGGGGTCCGAAGTACCCACAGATCTACTAAAAGCGTCACAGTAAACTATACAACAAACTTACGCGGCGCAGCGACTGTCTCTCAACGTAGTCGGCTCTTAACTGAATTTACGTGCAAGGGATTGCCAAAAGACGCAGACATGCGCAAGTTACATTGAACGATTCATGCGCCTGGGTTTTTCAGACCCCAGTGTGCAGTTCTAGGGTTAAATAATTAGACATGATAACACATATGAAACAGTTCACGGTTTTTGTATATCTGGGGATTCGTTGATCATAAGAAATTTTAGATTTTGTATTGCATCTTCCACTGTAATTTTATCTTCTTCATCGTATTTTAATTTAAATGTTGTTTTACTTGGATCCGCAACAAAACAAAAGTGACCGATATATCAACGCAGATAGCAAAACTTAAGTGGAAGTTCGCTGGCCATACCATAAGAAAAAAAAACGACAGATGGAATAAAATGATTATACACTGGAGACCATATAGTTACAAACGAAAAAGAAAAAGACTGCAAATGATATGGTCAGATGACTTGAAGAAACACGCAGGCCCAAAGTGGACACAAACTGCCTACAATAAAAAGAAGTGGAAGAAGGAAGAGGAGGACCTTGTCCAAAATTGGACAGCAAGGGCTGTATAGATAGAAAGATAGATAGTTGTAGTAATGGTGTTAGTAAATTGTGGTCCTGTTTCAGTCAGAAATTGTGAGTAATGTTCCATTAAAGATCTTTGTTCTAATAAATCTATTCTACTATTGTCTAGTTTTGTTTTTGTTCTTGTTTTGAATTTACGTATAAGTAGTATTTTATGGTGGGAAGAAACAATATATTGGTCCGGTATTTAATTTATACTGTGCTTACGGCACTTATGTAGATATATTGCACCATATCCATTCTAGTTCTATAAATAGGTAAAAGAAGATACCAGTTGAGCTTGGTATTTATAGAAATTAACAAAGTATTTTTATACCATATATATGTTATGGACAAAGTGATTATGTTAGCCATTATGTATAATGACCGGTCATTATTAATAATGACCAACTTCAGCGGGAAATTTGATAACTTTTTACAATTTATCATATTGTCTGGTCTTTATGAAAAATGCTATACTATGTGGTATAGCAATGAATTCAAGATGTCAAGTCGACTCTTCAATAATGTTGCCCGAATCAAGTTCCAGATCTGGCTACACCCTGGACGTTAAAAAAATTGGAGCAATTTTAATTGATGATAATTCATCTCGCGAATCTATTCAAGTTCCAGAATTTTCAACAAATGCGGTAGAAACGGTTATTGTAGTTAATTTAGAAAATAATGAAAATCTGGATTCCAATATAGATATTAGAATAAACGATGTAAGAAAGAAAAGAAAATTGGTTTTGACGAATCTAGAACAACAAGCCGAGAAGATGTTAAAATTTTCCAATTCCAAATATCCATCGGCTAAACTAGGTAACACAGTTAGCATACGAGTGCCAGATGTGGACCAAGCTTGTAGTGATCAAAGAAATCTACTAGCTATCGTGACAGAGATAACTGAAAAAAAGCTTTACAGACTAGGCACAAAATATGGCATACTAAATCAGTTATATTCAAGAAACCAGTTTACCGTTTGTAAAGAAAAGTTTATCTCCATAGAAGAGATTCCAGACACTGAGATATCTCTTAGAGAATGCGCAAGAAAATCTTCTAACTGTGGGGGGCAAGGATACAGTAGGTGCGGTTGTAAGGGTGGGTGTAAATCCGATAAGTGTAAGTGTCGTAAAGAAAAAAAAATTTGTAACTCCAAGTGTCACCATAGTGGAACATGTTTCAACAAATAGTTACGTATTGTAAATCATTCATACAAAATAAACTTCGATGATGTAGCACGCAAAGGTGGTAAGTGTATTTTTATTTAAAATTGAGTTTGATTTAGAAGAAAAACGATTTAATTTCTCACTGGCCGCTTTGTGTGTTACCATCGATTTCGGTTATTAGAAACAAATGCAAATAAAAACACAGAATTCTTTTTTTGGTTTCCTCAATTACCGTTAATACTTATTATATTTTTTATGTATACTTATTCATTAATTGTACTCATGTGCCATTTCACAGAAGACTGTAAGACTGTTTTCATTAGTATATAAGAAATATTCTAGTTTTTACTACATACTTGATTGTATCAAAATAAATATATTTCATATTTAATAAAAATAAAAGTAGTTTTAATCATCCTGTCTAGTAGATGCCAAGCATTATACACAATGCCCGGGCAATGTGATGAGTTTAATAGTATTTATTATATTGACCGACAGTATTGGGCATTTTTTATATACCCCGGGCATTATGAAAAATGACCAATTAGTCATATGGTCCATAACATATATAAGCGATTACAATTTTTACTATCAAGATATTGTGGTTTATCGATTGATCTATATTTAGATAGGTTTTTACTATTACTACTACTGAATTTCTATAACTTTTTTATACAGATTATGCAGTATGTTTTAGTTACAGACCAGTATTGGCCCATTGAACCATTGGTCTGAACCATTGGTTCAGGTGTGTCTAATCTTGAGGTAGACAGGCGGTAAACTTTTAAAGTTTAATAACGTATTTGTGATTCCTGTTTGCTTCTTTAGACAAAAAGATACCAATATTTTGTATTTCCAGACAATACTTTACTTATTTACTTCTATTCTCCTTCACCAATTTTTGCATTAAAATCTTCCAAGACAAAATTAATCTCGTCTTTTGAGATATGAATGGTCCAAAGTCTTGTGTAAGTGTACAAACTTGTAATACATACACATTTATTGTAAACTTTGTACGTGTCACTTTTCGTAACTATTGTTATCTTTTTCTACTTTACTTTGGAATGATTTTATCACATTTTTAAAACATTTTTTCTTGATTTTAGGATTCGAAACAACTGAACTCCTCATTGAATTAACGGATAGGGACATGAAAACCGCTTATGCACAGTACAAATCATTTGCAATTGGACCTGAGAAGGATGGTTATAAAATAAGCACAATAACTGGGTTTTCAGGAGATGCAGGAGATGCTCTGACTCAACACTTAAATCATAAGTTCTCTACTTTTGACGTAGATCAAGATGGACACGCCACAAATAATTGTGCACAAATATACGGTAAATTTAATATTTTGTGTAACTAAATATTGCTAAAACGTGACCATTTTCTCAGTGGCATACTTTGTTTTTTAATATTTTAATATGCAGTATACTTAGTACATGTCGATCCTGACAATATTGTACCAATAGCAGTTATTTTGCTCACCATATAAATCTCATAAAGTTTTAAAACAAAAAATGGAGTTTTCTAGATAGACAAATTGATCTTTCAAAAGATTCAATGGTAAACAATTTGATATATTTTAACTTTGACAATAGCGTTACTAGCATAACAAAAAGCTTCTAAAAGGTTTGAGCTCTCAGCGTCTCTTAGCTTCTATAAGGCTAGATGTTAACAAATTGCAACAAAATCACTGAAGACGAGTTACCTAAAATCTGGATTACGGACGAATATACTGGAGACGGTAGAAAATTCTGGAATAAATTCAGAACCCTAACAAAAAAGTCAATGCCCCACTTGCATCTAGTTGTTGATAATGCAATCATTTTAAATCCATAAACTAAACTAAAGTGTTCAAAAACACACTACAGGCAACATTTAATACACCAGATAACCTTAATTTTAAAAAGTGGTTTAAACTCGACACCAAAAGGACAGTGAAGGACATACTCTTCTACCATCCCTAGCACTTCGAAGACTTTCATATTCAACATCCAATTATAGCTTACGTGCAGAAGGACACCGTCAAGCAGATGTTTCACTTTGGTAAAAACTCATCGCCTGAACCAGATTGCATACACAGGAGATGCCTCAACAAACTCCCAGAGAGTATAATCCCGCTGGTCACCAACATGTTCAATGCATGTGTTTTTCATGTTTTACTTTCCTACTCCATGGATCATGAAGTACAATCATGATCCCTAAACCAGGGAAACCCCTAACCAGCATTGAATCCTACAGACCAATTTCTCTTCTAAACGCTCTAGGTAAAGTTTACGAAAGAATCCTAAAGGAGAAACTCATAGAATTCGTAGACACAAATAACATCATCCCAAAATTTTAATTTAGGTTCAGAGCTGAACAGTCCGCACAAAATGCGTTGACAGAAGCAGCAACTTTCATTGCACGTTTAATTAACGAAAAAGGCAAAATTGCCATAGGCATATTCCTAGACATCCAGAAGGCCTTCGATCAGGTCTCACATGTAGATCTGATTAAAAAACTCCGCCTAGCTGGACTGACAATCACTTTCTAAAAACCATTTACTCATATCTCTCCAATGACAGTTAAAATCAGCGACCAATACTCTACCCCTTTTACTTCACTTGTTGGAGTACCTGACGGCTCAATTTTATCTTCTATCCTATCCACAGTGTACAATAGTGACCTCCCTCGCTCCTACGATCAAAATGAAATCCTTCTCTACGTTGACGATAACGCACTGCTAGACTCAGGCACAGTAGAAGAAACCATAAGGAGCCGCTTTGTGTTCCGTAGCTCTTAGGACTAACTTGACAAAGTCGTCAATGGTGCAACAAATGGAGAGTCACTCTCAACCCAACCAAGACACAAGCCATCCTCTTCAGATATCCGAGAACTTCCCGGTTTGAGGACAATGGTAATCCAACAGAGCTCTACTAATCTAGACTCCCGTTCAATCAACTAATTGGGAGTTTAATTTCAGAGGTACCTTAATTCGAAGACTGAACTTAATCTCACTCTAAATAGAATAAGAAGAAAGGCTAAGCTAGTTATCTCACATCATTATCATCGTCCACTACGTCTGACCTAACTAGATTTTCTACTTTGCTTTTCTCCTACTTATACAAACCTACATACCTCCCGACCGTGGTTGTTTTAGACTCATCGTAACTCTGTCTTATGTTTAAAGATATAGCTGCGATAAGCTGTCCAGTATGCTCCTTTTTGCCGTACGTCCGACATCAGTCGACGTTTACTTCATTCTACTTGCCCTGTCGCTCTTTCTCTTGCTCTTTAATTTGTACCCGCATTTACCCCTGTGATACGCGTTCAATTTGGCCCCTCAATATCTGTTAGAACTGCACCTAGCTCCGGATATTTCTTTTCTTTTATCAATAGCAAATTTTTCACGTAGTTGTGTATTTTTTCCATCTCCCCTAACACATTACTGACTCAAAAGGTATCTGACATAGTGTTCGAAGCCCCACAATACAGAAATTTGTCAGATTTGGCCTATTCAAATTTGTGCAACAAGCTACGAAAGCTCCTGTGCCCTGTGAGTACTTGGACATTGTTTTATAAGCCTGCGTCCACATTTTATATAATTCCGCAGATTTGATATTAGTGACTTTATCCTCTGTACGATATCCCTTGTTGCATCCCACTTGTACTCCCATCACGATAAGGGTGGCCCTCTCCTCTTTTTTGATATTTTCCTCTACTTTTCCCGTTTTCTATATTTACTCTTGTAGAATATACTGACTTGGGAAAAAACTCTCAGAACTCTTTATCACCCCTTTATTTTTCTTGGGCAACATCTTATTCTACAACGGCTCTTTAAGTAGAAATATAAGGTTCTGAAAACACCTCTGCCCCAAGCAGGGCATTTATGTAACCCAATAGCCGTGCAGGTTCCAATATTATAATTAATAATAATTAGGAATAATAAGTTCATCTAGCCATCTCTACTGGTACTATGTCTCGACCAAAAGCCCTGCGCGATTTAATGAACTCAAATACCGACGTGAGTTCATCTGGAGAAAAGAATATAACTTGCTTCATATTCATGTACCTCCTGCGGCATTTGTCACAGAAGATGTCATCATTTTATACAATTTAACTCCAACACATTTCTAAACCTGTAGCCATCTACGCTCAAACTTTTATATGAATCATCTGAATCTGTCATTGAAATATTAGAATGCTTAACATGCTTATAATAAAGCGCTCCTCAGATACTGCAATAATTATATGATTTAAACACTCTATCGTCGACAAAAATTACCTTTTTTTTATTTAGACTATTTTTTGTTATATACTAATCAACCATGACCAATAATCGACTAATATTTAACTTAAATTACTAAAGGTCACCAAAACTAAGAGCTTATTGTATAGCCTCTTCTAATTTGTATTTTATAACTTCTATCTTATCTTGCATTATAAAGAACTAAAATAATATGTACACCATAGAGCACTATACTCTGCTTTTCACTATATTCTTTATCTTAAATAACGTGTCTTGTTCTTTTAAGCCTTTTTATACCCTATTGTTTTTAAGAAGCTGGATCACCTCGACATTCACATGGTAATAATGTATCTGCTGGCGACTTGCTACCGTCCTCTTGATCACGATATCAAGAGTTTCCATTCCAAGATCCCGGTGAAGATAACTGTTGCGTTTGTACTTAAAGGCAAACAGATTCAACAGCTGAACAATTTCTACACGCAGCCCAAGACGTAGCCAGTAAGAGAACAGGCAAGAATCAGATAATCAGTCTTCAAGAACACCTGAGCAACGTTATAAATCAAATCAAAGATACAAAATTGATAATAATTACTGACTATATGGTATCCAGATACAAAATTAAACACCATCTTAGTAGAAATATACCCAAGGAGGAGATGAGGCAAAGAAAACACACGCAATCTGGTATAAAGGTTTATATCTGACGCACAAAGGTTACAAACTGCAGAAGACTTGAGATATGAAATATTCAGTAGGAGTAAAAATATCCATATTCTAACTAGGGTAATGTAGAGATTCAGGAAGAGATTTATGCAATATTGTATTGAGAAGATACCATTGAGAATACCATGAAAGCTGTCAAACTGTAGAGGATCATTATACACACAGATAATGTAGCGACCCTGGACGCTTTTAAAAGTGATAAGGTGAATTCTAGACAAATGTTAGAATGCCAATAAGAACTCTCCAGACTCGCTAAACATAACAGTGTCTCACTTTAATTAATGTAGTAGAAACTGTATGTAGTTGAATACTGTCTAAACATACATCTAGAGAAACATTTATATAAGTGAGACACAGATTAAACGAGTTGAGAATCAGTGTACCGATATCTGTTTAATACAACTATGGGGATGTTAATCAATGTAGGTATTTCCCATAAAACTCTAGCATAATTTTTTCCGTTAAATATCAAATACTAAATATTTAAAAGAATCATTTAATATGCCTGGCTGATACGTGACAGTGATCTGAAGCTGTTTATTTCGAAATGTTTTTACCGAATCATCTAGAAACAAATATTGGAATCATACTGGAAATGTCATTGTCAAATTTAACCTCGCCTTAATTGCATTTTACTTTTAAAAATTTGAACGCCCAGAACTTTTAAGGTTCAATTTCGTGCAAAAAAAACATCGCAGAAGAGAGATCCGCTTGGCTGCGAGTAAAATCTAGTACGAAAAGTAGGAGTAGGTAAAGAAATAATAAATAAGACTTACTCACAATCAATTTAATTTAACTATCAGACGACCGGTTTCGCTTTCTACAATATGCAAAGCATCCTCAGGTCTCGATACAAAGTTAAACAAATGCTGAAATAATAAAAACCCATATTAGTGTGTTGTCTAATAACGATAAACAAAGTAGATGTTGTAAATTACAATAATTATGCCAATATTACATGTCTGTGGTTTTATTTAAATGAGTAAGTTAAATAAAAAGTATAAAAGTTTTAAAAGTTTAAACAGACAAGGTAAGGCCCACAAATTGTCATAAAATAGTCTCTTCGATTGTAATAAATTAATAAATGAGCAAATAAATAAAATAAACATTACTTACATGCCTGTACTCTATTAATTGATGGATGGTAGAACATGGTTGAAACTACTATGTATTGTTGAATGGAGAACTCAATTCTATTATTGCAGTTGTTTTGACAGTAAACGGGAAGTTCTTGAGGAGATAGATTTGATCCAATGAAGAAGAGATATGTGTGTGATTGTTTGTGAAATGAAAGTGATGTAATATACCATTGTGTTATTAAAAGCTATTTATACTTATTCGAGAGATATATTTTTGAAATGTGTGTTATTTATTGAGTAATTGTTTTTATGAAGGTGACAGTTTTATGACAGCAATGAATAAGTTTAGATGTAAAAATTGTGTGGGTGTGCAGTTCTTTTCCAACTTGTAGTTATCAAATTACTTTAATAAAGTTCTATTGGCAATTAGTAAAGATACTACTACTAATTGCCAATAGAACTTTATCAAAGTAATTTGATAACTACAAGTTGGAAAATAACTGTACACCCAAACAATTTTTACATCTAAACTTATTCATCGTCATAAAACTGTCACCTTCATAAAAACAATTACTCAATAAATAACACCCATTTCAAAAATATATCTCTCGAATAAGTATAAATAGCTTTTAATAACAAAATGGTATATTACATCACTTTCATTTAACAAACAATCACACACATATATCTCTTCTTCATTGGATCAAATCTATCTCCTCAAGAACTTCCCGTTTACTGTCCAACAACTGCAATAATAGAATTGAGTTCTCCATTCAACAATACATAGTAGTTTCATCCATGTTCTACCATCCATCAATTAATAGAGTACCGGCATGTAAGTAATGTTTATTTATTTTATTTGCTCATTTAATAATTTATTACAATCGAAAAAACTATTTTATGACAATTTGTGGGCCTTACCTTGTCTGTTTAAACTTTTAAAACTTTTATACTTTTTATTCAACTTAATCATTTAAATAAAACCACAGACATGTAATATTGGCATAATTATTGTAATTTACAACATCTACTTTGTTTATCGTTATTAGACAACACCCTAATATGGGTTTTTATTATTTCAGCATTTGTTTAACTTTGTATCGAGACCTGAGGATGCTTTTCATATTGTAGAAAGCGAAACCGGTCGTCTGATAGTTAAATTAAATTGATTGTAAGTCTTATTTATTATTTCTTTACCTATTTGACATGGACTCACACAAGCAACACATTCATGATTTGAAAAGTAGGAGATTGACACGAGAAAGTTGGCGGTGCGGGGAGTACAATTTAGAGTCAAAAAGAGTAATGGAAGCACCTGAAGAAGAAGGTTCATTTTCGTAAGAATTTTAAAAAATCGGCAGTTTCGCTTAATTCCATATTGGTGAAAAGAAGGTAATTTGACCTAAGAATGCCATGTGGAAATCTTTGTAATATAAGTTAATCACCGTTTGTTGTAAGCTGTATCCCGAATTTGAATATTTATATATTGTTATCATTCAGGATAACCTGAAGTCAAGTTTTGGTTTTTGATTTCATTTTTCCCACGATTTGTTCAGCCGCAGTCTCCATTTTGTGTCTTCCATAGGTCAGATTTTTATTTAAAAATGTTTTTTTTGTTCAAATATAAGGAAAGAAAAACCTAAACCTTTTTTTTTCTTAGCAACGAGAGGATTTTTTTAAACGGCGTTTCAATTTTTAATAGTTTAGAAATCTTCCTATTCGAAATTTGCTCAGGAAATCTCTGTAAAAATTTCTTAATTTCTTTTTTATAGTAAGTTCTTTCAGTCCCCCTCCCCCAAAAGAAATCCTTATCCACGGCCTTGCTATCCAACCACAAAACACGAGAGTAGCCGTTCTCAAACGTTTCAATTTTTATCCTATCTATAAGCCCAGTAAAATTCGAAAGAGGAATCAGGCAGGGAGACACAATATCACCAAAATTATAGTTTATTCGTCTTCCGGGTTTGGACCGTGTCATTTGTGAGTGACCCAAAAGTGGGTTCATCTCGACGTTTCGCTACAATTGTATGTAGCTTCTTCAGGAGAACAAAGAAAAAAGAAAAAAGAAAAGAAATCAAAGGACAGGAAGATGGGTAGTTAGCAACGGTAACTCAGTTACTCAACGCAACCAGAGGCGAATACTAACTACCAAGATGGGCATTTGGTCACAGTAACTCAACTACTCAACGCAGCCAGAGGTGAAAACCAAATGCCAGGACAGGGATTCACGTCCAACAGCTCAGAACACTAACGCGTCGAGAGGCGGGGAGTGAATCCCCGGCGGGGAGTGAATCCCCGTGAAGGATTCACTCCCCGCCTCTCGACGCGTTAGTGTTCTGAGCTGTTGGACGTGAATCCCTGTCCTGGCATTTGGTTTTCACCTCTGGCTGCGTTGAGTAGTTGAGTTACTGTGACCAAATGCCCATCTTGGTAGTTAGTATTCGCCTCTGGTTGCGTTGAGTAACTGAGTTACCGTTGCTAACTACCCACCTTCCTGTCCTTTGATTTCTTTTCTTTTTTCTTTTTTCTTTGTTCTCCTGAAGAAGCTACATACAATTGTAGCAAAACGTCGAGATGAACCCACTTTTGGGTCACTCACAAATGACACGGTCCAAACCCGGAAGACGAATAAACTATAATTCTGACTCTGGCCGTGGAAGCCTACGATTTCATATCACCAAAATTGTTCAATCAGGCTAAGGAAGACATATTTAAAAAATTAGAATGGGATACATACGGAATAAGAATAAATGGAGAGCTCTTGAAACACTTGAGATATGCAGAAGATATAGTCCTGATAACAGATAAGAAGGAAGAGTTACAGAAGATGGTTAAGGAACTAGATAGAAAAGCGACAGAGGTAGGTCTAGAGATGAACTATAGTAAAACCAAGACTATGACAAACCAAGAAAACCAATTAGAAATAGTAGTCAAACAAAATAAATTAGAGCAGGTAGCAGAATACATATACCTAGGACAGATAATAACGCTGAACAGGGACAATCAAACAGAAGAAATAAAAAGAAGAACTAGACTAGCATGGGCCTCATTTGGTTAACTATCATATATTCTAAAAAATAAAAAGTTGCCTCAATATATGCGAACGAAAGTATTCTAGAAGTGCATTTTACCAGTTATCACATATAGCTCACAAACATGGACTTTCACAAAGGAGAACATTGACAGGATATCCAAAACACAAAGAGCAATGAAAAGACAGATGCTGGGTATCGGTCTTAAAGACAGGAAAATAAACTTATGGATCAGAGAAAAACAAAGGTGAACGATGTATCAAGACAGGTTGCAAAACTTAAATTTATGGAACTTCGCCCGGAACTTTTGCACTCTCCGGCAAAAATATGAAACATAGAATAAGCGAATTCTACACTGGAGATTATGGGAAAAGAAAAGAAAAAGAGGAAGACCACAGATGAGATGGACTGACGACCTTAAGAGAACAGCAGGAAAGGACTGGATGTAGATCGTCCAAAATAGAGACCAATGGAGATTAACAGTGGAGGCCTATGCCCAAGAGTGGGCGTTTAAGGCTGATTAGATAGGTAGATAGATAGATAAGCCCAGTAATTGTTCAGTGCTGCTTTTAGCCTACTATAACCAAATAATTTTAAACACCACCAAGTCACACTATGAAAATATGGACGAGAATGATGCATATTTTTCAATTTACATTTTTTATTAATATAAAATTTGGTATTAAAGATGTACCAATTATGTTACTTTGAATATAAAAAATATATTAAACTTTTACAAATATTAGAAATATATTTTAAGCAATGTTTCTTAAAATATTATATATTTTAAAAACTAAGTACTAATTTAACGTGAAATGTGGATTTTTTCTTTATTTATTTTGTTAAATATCACATAATAACTATGTTTTTAAATCTAGAGGGCGGATGGTGGTACACTAATTGTCACTCCAGCAACCTTAATGGAAAACATATGAACAAACCCCTTTCCGATGCCTACAAATTTCATGGACTGAACTGGAATGGATTTAGAGGACACGATTATAATTTAGCTGCTTCAAAAATCATGATACGTCCAGTTGTAGAATAAATAATACACTATTTTACTAAATAACTTTCAAATATTGTGTCTTGTATTTACCTTAACTAAATAAATATTTTTATGGCGTTTACTGGTTATTTTGTTTAATTGTTAAATTACGGTTTTTTCCAAGAAAATAATCATCATGCAACCTCTTCTGTCCACTGCTGTACATGGGTCTCTCGCATTTTTCGATAATCTTTACAGTTTTTTGCGTCCTGTTGCCATTTATTGGATATTCGTTTAATGTCACACATTCAGCGTGTTGGTGGTTGTCCTCTGCTGCGTTTGTTTTCTCTTGGGCGCCAGTTAATTAGTTTTCTGGTCCATCTCATACGACAAGTCATATTGGGTAGATTATAATTGGGCACCTCACATAGCGAGTCTTTTAGTCGCTATGTGACCTGTCCAAAACATTTCAGCTTCGCTATACGTTCGACAACATTAGTGATACCTGTGCTTTTTCTTAAGTCTTGGTTCATTATTTTGTCTTTTTTTGTCAGCCGAGAATCGATCTTTCCATGCGCCTTTTTGCCACTCGATTGTATTTGATACGATCGACCACTCGTTGTGGCTTTTGTAGATTTCTATAAAGCATGCCGCATTGACTACCGATCTACAAGGTTAATTTACGATACATACAAGAACGCAACTATGCCGGTGAAACTACATGAAAACACGGATCATATCCCAATCGGCAGAGAAGTTCAACAGGGTGATACCTTATCGCCTAAACTGTTTACCGCAGTACTAGAGTATGCTTGTAAAAAACTTAACTGGGAAGAGAAAGGCCTGAACATGGACGGTGGAAGAATAACAAATTTAAAATTCGCAGATGACATAGTTTTGTTTTCGGAAAACCTTAAGGAGATATATAGAATGCTACCTGAACTTCAGTTAGAGTGTGCCAGTGTGGGTCTTAAAATAAACATCTTCAAAACAAAATTCATGACAAATCTAGTACCTAGCGGACATATTGATATTAAAGACAACGAAGTAGAGCTGGTGGAAAAGTACGTATATCTTGGACACGAAATAAAGATCACAAGAGACAACCAAACATGAGAACTACGAAGAAGAATAAACCTAACATGGGCAGGCTATGGAAAATTCAAAGACATATTTAAAAGGGATGGTGGCGTAGGATTTATGGTAAATAAAAAACACACAAAGAATATACTCACAATTAAAAGCATAAGTGATAGAGTTATATATCTTATCTACAAAGTAAACGAAAAAATTCGGTTAAAGATCATCCAGGTATATGCACCTACTAGTACCCATACAGATGAAGAAGTAGAATGGTTCTACGATGACGTTAACACTGCCATACAAGAGACAAACACCAACTTTACTATACTGATGGGAGACCTAAACGCCATAATAGGCCACAAGCAAGATGATTCGGAGTTTGTAATTGGACCTCACGGATATGGCGATAGAAACGAAAGGGGTCAAACTCTCATAGAATTTCTTTTGCAACACAGGCTATATGTCATGAATACGCACTTTAAAAAAGCGACCAAAGAAAGTGGACTTGGCAATCACCAAATGGTTTAAACAAGAACGAAATTGATTTTATATTTACTAACAAAAAAGACGCTGTTCAAGACGTAACTGTATTAAATCAATTTTCAACTGGAAGTGGCCATAGAATGGTTAGGGCGAAGATAGTCTTAAACATACAGAAGGAAAGAAGACATATGGTAACAAGGACTAATAATGTTACATTCACTGCGATTACTAACACCAGGGCATACCAGGAAGAAATAGAGAGTAATCTAGAGAAAGACCTGCAAGATGAAACCAGTATTGAACAGCTTAACGAAAAATTGGTAGAAGCCCTGAAGAAGTCACAGAAGAAGTGCCAAGCCAAGCACTGAACAAAAAATGAAAAACTCACAGAAGACACAAGAAACCTAATGCAAAAAAGAAGGGAAATGAAAGAAAAGCATACAACGAACATTGCAGAGCTAAGGAATTTAAACAAAACCATTTCAAAAGCCATTAGGAAAGACATAAGGAACTTTAACACTAAGGAAATAACTGATACCGTAGAACAAAACAAAAGCCTAAAAGTTCTAAGACGAAAGTTGAAAATAGGAACGAGGAATATTTATAAGTTAAAAAATAATCAAGGACATGTCATACATGAACAACAAGAGATACTAAAAATCATCGAAGAGTACTATAGAACATTATATAGTCGAGATGATCACATTCCCGAAGTAGAAATTCCAGCAATACTAAATCAAGGGTCAGAGGAACTTCCAGATATAACCGAAGAGGAAATTAAGTCAGCATTAAAAGGTACGAAGAACAACAAAACACCTGGAGAAGATGGCATTGTAAGTGAAATGATAAAACTAGGAGGCGAATGCGTCATAAAGGCTTTAAAAACCCTTTATAATGCCTGCCTCTTTGAAGGAAATACGCCAGAAAAATGGAATAATGCCATTATGATAATATTGCATAAAAAAGGAGATGTAACAGAAATTGGCAACTACAGACCTATCAACTTATTATCTCATTTATATAAACTCTTTATGAGAATAATTACTAACAGACTGGGACCTAAGCTAGATTTTCATCAACCTCTAGAGCAGGCCGGATTTAGGAGTGGCTTTGGAACAAATGACCACCTACAAGTAATAAAATCCTTGATAGAGAAAGTTATAGAATACAACAAGCCATTGATATTAATATTTGTAGACTTTGAGAAAGCATTTGACTCAGTCCAGCATAGCTCCATGTTAAGAGCTCTTACAGAGTGCAGTATTGACCATAGGTACACAACTCTTCTTCGAAATATATATGATAGCGCAACAGCTGCTGTAAAAATGTACTATGGTGACACAGACACATTTCCCTTGGAGAAAGGTATTAGGCAAGGAGACACTATCTCTCCTAAACTATTCACCGCCCTATTACAGAGTGCTATGAGAAAAAATAATTGGGAAAATATTGGATTAAATATAAATGGGGAATTTTTGAACAACTTGAGGTTTGCAGACGACATAGTCCTTATTGCAGATCAGGTAGATCATGCATGCCAACTTCTTCAAGACCTTCAGAGCTCTTGTGCACGAGTTGGCCTTAAAATTAATTTTTCCAAAACACAATACATGACCAACCTGGTACTGGCAAAAAACATTTCCACTAATGGCACGCAAATTGAACAAGTGTATTCCTATAAGTATCTGGGCCACGAGATTAAATTGGGAAGAGACAATCAAACAACAGAGTTAAAAAGGAGAATAGGACTGGCATGGGCAGCTTACGGAAAACTGAGGGAAGTCTTTAAATCAGCTATTCCCATGTGCTTGAAGAGAAAAGTTTTTGATCAGTGTGTACTTCCAGTTCTGACATATGGAGCAGAAACATTGACACTTACCAGAAAAGTAATTAATAAGATACAAGTGGCACAGAGAGCGATGGAGAGGTCAATGTTGGGCGTATCACTCAGGGACAGAGTTTCGAGTCAGATAGTAAGGAGAAAAACTGGTGTGACGGACGCAGTTGAAAGAATTACAACCCTGAAATGGAACTGGGCAGGACATGTTGCTAGGGTCAGAGATGGAAGATGGACAAAGAAAATTTTAGAGTGGAGGCCTAGACACGATGCTTATCGTAGTCGAGGACGTCCTCCAACAAGGTGGTCGGACGATTTAAAGCGCATCCAGTCTAACTGGATTCAAGTTGCTCAAGATCGGATGCAATGGAATTATTTACGGGAGGCCTATGTTCAGCAGTGGACGCAAAATGGCTAATGATGATGATGATGATGATGATTTAAAAGAGATATACAAATTTCTTTAAAACGTAAAACATTTGACCAATGTGTGTTCTGTGATGACCTATGGTGCTGAATCTTTGACATTAACTGCTACATGTTCTAAAACGCTGCAAATAGCTCAGAGGAAAATGGAAAGGTCAATGACGAATATATTGACTTCGCAATGTGAAGAACAGGAGATACCGATATAGTTTCCCGAATTGCCATACTAAAATGGAACTGGGCCGGACACGTCACCCGAATCAATGATGAAAGGTATACGAAGAGATAGCTTGAGTAGAGGCCGAAGTTACATAAAAGAAGTAGAGGAAGACCCCCTACTCGTTGGACTGACGTCTTAAGAAAATATTAAGAAATTTGATGAAAAGTTCTCAAGATAGAGTACAATGAACACAAATAAGGGAGGCCTATATCCGGCAGTAGAAGCAAAGGGATGGGTGACGATGATGATGATGATTGTGCCACTCGCATTTTTAGTGCTGTTGTTTTTGTGAGAGTGAGAGTTTCTGATTTTATGCTTGAGATATAAGTACTTTTTTGTTAATTTTACCACTTGATTTTGGATGGTAAGATGTTCGCTGGGAAAGAAATTGGTCCTAAAATTTGGTCTTACTGATGTTTATTTTGGACCTATTGTTAAAGATACGTTTTTTAATTCTTGTAGCATTTGTTATGCTTCACGCAGATCTTCGAGCATTTCCCCGTCTATTTTTATTCCTCTATTTTCCCATTTTAGCATTTTAAAGGTGTATTCAAGGACCATTGTAAATAATTTAGGTAAAAAAGTGTCACCCTGTCTTACACCTAGCTTTATATAAATTTCTCTGGTGGTATCATGTAGTATTACATGCATTGTGGCGTTTTGGTACAATGTTTGTACTAACTTTGAGGGCCGGTACTCTATTCTACTATTGTTCAGAGCAGTTATGCTGCTTAATTCCACGGTATCAAAGGCTTTGTCCTAAGACTACCATATCATAACCAGTACAATCCAATTGAATTGGTGTGGGGCATCACTAAAAACTACTATGATAAACATGCATGTAAGACCACCGACGAAGCCAGCGTTTTACAACTCTGAAAAGATGCACTAAACCAAGTAATGAGGAACAATGGCGAAAATGTATTAAGCATACTAAAAAAAAATTTTAGAGTCATATGAAATAGGACAAGTTAATGATGAAGTAAGACTTTTAATTATTCGTACAGATGAAGGTTCAGATGAATCGGATAGTGAGTCAGATAGTGATGATACCTGTCCATAGATTAAGACGTAGGTAGAAAAATTAACAC